CAAAAAAAAAAAAAAAACCAATACACACACACACTGGCCATGGTAGTTCACGCCTGTAATCCCACCACTTCGGAAGCTGACACAGGAGTCTTGGATTTGGGGCCAACCCAGGCTACACAGTAAGTTCCAAGGCAATGTAAACTACAGAGTAAGACCTGATCTTAAAACAAACAAAACTCTCACAAAGGGGGGGGGGATCTAAAAAACAAATAATAAGCTGGGCAGCGGTGGTGCGTGCCTTTAATTTCAGCAGTTGGGAGGCAGAGGCAGTCAGATCTCCCTGAATTTGAGGCTAGTCTGGTCTACAGAACAAGACCCTGTCTCAAAAAATTTTTAAAAATTTTAAAAAAGGACAAATAATAATAAACAAACAAAAAGAAAAGAAAAAAGAATCCCCAGCAGGCAACATGGCCAAACAGGTGCATGACAGCCTGATTTGGATCCCCTGCACTCACACAAAAATAATCCAATTCTGGGGTATACATCTGTAATCCTAGTACCCTGGCAGACAGAAGACAGCAGTAGAGTTGAAGCTCTTGGGCCTAAAGACTTTGCCTCAATAAGGTAAGAGGAGAGAAACTACTTGTGGGTAGTAGAAGGAACGCTGAGTGACTGAAGGTCTGAGTGACTATGTTGTTGACATGGGCATGACCATGTCAAGGACCCCAAGCCTCAAACCCTTCCCTCCCGGTTCTTGTGCATAGTGATAGCGTGTACAGAAAATGTCCCCCATAACTTCCCCCACATTTACAGTCTGAAGACTGCTGCCTTTTTTTTTTTTTTTTTTTTTTTTTTTTTTGGTTTTTGAGACAGGGTTTCTCTGTGTAGCGTTGCACCTGTCCTGGAACTCACTTGGTAGCCCAGGCTGGCCTCGAACTCACAGAGATTCGCCTGCCTCTGCCTCCCGAGTGCTGGGATTAAAGGTGTGCACCACCACCGCCCAGCAACTGCTGCCTTTCTAAGACTTCTCCTATAGACATTAGCTAAACCCGCCTCTTTGATCTTGTTTATCTCCTTGTTTATCTGTATATAATAACCCTGTGTGTTACTTTGAATATATTTGGTCCCCATGAGCTCATAGGGAGTGGCATTATTAGGAGGTGTGGCCTTGTTGGAGGAAGTGTGGTCTTGTTGGAAGAGGCTGGAGGACACACACACCTTTAATCCAGACCTTGAGGCTGGAGGACACACATATAATCTGGGCCACACCTTCTGTTGGAAGTATGTCAACTTCCTGTTGCCTGTACCTTGCCACAATTAAATGTTTCCTTTATAAGAGTTGCCGTACCGGGCGGTGGTGGCACACGCCTTTAATCCCAGCACTCAGGAGGCAGAGGCGGGCGGATCTCTGTGAGCTTGAGGCCAGCCTGGGCTACAGAGTAAATTCCAGGGCAACCAGGACTGTTTCACAGAGAAACCCTGTCTTGAAACCCCCCCCCCCAAAAAAAAAGACTTGTCTGTGGTCATGGTGTCTCCTCACAGCAGTAGTAAACCCTAAAACACTCTGCCTCTTCATTCAGCTGTATGCATTTAATGCTGCCTCCCAGTTCCACTGTACATAATGAACACACTGAACTTCCAGGGTGCCGAGGTTTCTCCGTCAGAACACAGCCTGCCCAATCCAACTTTTCTGTGTATCTGTGTGTTTGTGTTCATTCCTTTGCCACCCCAGATGTCCCCCTCCCCCACCCGTTAATGTAGGACACAAAACAACTTGGTTTTCAGTGGAAAGGCCTGCAATCCCAGTACTCAGGAGTTTAGGGGCAGGAGGATCATCAGTTAAAGGACAGACTGGGCTACATAGCTCTGTCAAGAGAGAACAGACCAGTGAAATGGTCCAGTGGATACAGCACTTGCTGCTAAGTCTGAGGACCTAAGTTCAAGGTCAACCGGGATCAGCTGGGCCCCACACGGCAGAAGGAAAAAAGTGACTCTGGAAAATTGTCCCCCATCCTCTCCTCTTCCTCTCCCCCCTCCTCTCTCTCTCTCTCTCTCTCTCTC